ACTATATAAAGAGGAAAGAATGTATTTTTATGTATTGAAAAAACTCAAAAACTACTGGTCCAATTTCAAAAAATTCTTTCACCATTAAAAAGCTATCTTATCAACGAGTAACTAAGGCTGTTTATTTAAATAGCTAGTCTTTACTTCTATACTAATATAAAGAGAAAAGATTTGTATTTTTGTATGTATTAGATTCACGTAAAACTACAAGGCCGATTTTAAAAATTCTTTCATCAATACAAAGGTAATTTATCTGCGAGTAACAAGCAATATTTATGTATTTCAATACCTGTAAAATGTTTATATCGTTTTATTGTTATACTGAAGTCGAAAACCTACATAAAGCTAAATATATTTGTTTAGTGACAAGACTTTTGATTAATGAAAAAGGGTTATACAGCGTCTCAATAACATTGATACTTGCACATCTGTTCACCCGCATCCTGTCGTTTTACTATTAAAAAAAATAAATAGACAAAAAATACGAACCTCAAATTATACCATAATAGAGTAGCTATTCATTTATAGTTTTTAAAATCAATTCATTCGTTTTGAGGTTACTAATATTATAAAGAGAAAAGATTTGTATTTTTGTATGTATTGAAATAACTCATAAACTACTTGACCGATTTTAAAAATTCTTTCACCGTTAAAAAGTTAATTTATCTGAGAAAAATAGGCTATATTTTTTAATTTCACACGGACAAAGTCGCGTGCAACAGCTTGTATTACCTTTTTGGATTTTCCATAAAGTTATTTAAAGTATCAAAATGGGTCATACCGCGCGCCAATTTCTCCGTTCGCATAAACATTTTAAAAAGAGTTGATGAGGCGCATTTCGTGGGTTACGACCTTGTTTTCTTACATTTTGATATTGTACTTGCATTATATTCCCGTCCCTTTCTCTGTCATTGAAACAAACAGAGATAGCAATAGTGTACAGTACAATAATATTTTTAAATGTCCTTCAATAAAGATGCTTTGACACAATTGTATAGCTCGATTGCCAAATATTTTTTTATTAGACACTAAACAAATATCCAATACACTTTATCATCATCATCATCATCATCATCATCATCATCATCATCATCACATCACACTCTAACTGGAACGTTAATAATCATCTTTAAATGTACAAAATATCCAAAAACATCCATTTATACGTTGCATTGCCCAAAGTTCAGGTGAAGGGCATTTGGGCAAACATTTGATCCAACAATTGGCACTGCGGTATTGGAGCCACGGTGCCAAAATAACCCAACGCTAAAGTTTAAAGATAGTACGCCTCGTATTTCGCGCACCGATTTCTTGTTACGACGTACCAACCTGAACAAATTAAACTCAAAAGGTTTACTGGCTGAGGAAATACACTTTTAGACAGGGGAAAGATCTCTTCCATCTTCAACTCTCGTTGTGACTAATCTAAATAGTTGACTACACTGAATTAATTTAGAAAGACTTGTCATTAGTTTTATTATCTTACTAGCTGTTGCCCGCGACTTCGTCCATGCAGTAAAGAAAAAAGTAGCCTATAATATGCCCATCTATGTCAGCTACACTGCAGTGAAAGTCCGGTCAAAATCGTCCCAGGCATTTCGGAGATTACCCTGAACAAACGCGGCCTGCGGACAGACAATCATCCAATTTTATTATATGTATAGATTATACTTTAAACACCTTAAGTTAGCATTGATTGTTCATTTTTTTTTAACTCTACATAACTTTCTAGGTTATGTTGTTTACGTTAATAAGTTAACTATAACCTAACTAGCTGTTCCCGTGCGGCTTCATCCGCATGAAATTATGACAATATTATTTTATTGTTTACATTTGTCAAATTATCAATTGCAAATGTCAAAATGACATGACATGACAATCCTTGCAAACTATTCTTGATGTTGGCAGCAACTTATGGTCTCTTTCCCACATTAGGGTTTAGATCCAAAATATTTACCCCCTAATTTTAATGGCGTAAAAATATATAGCCTAAAGCGTGACGTAAGTGTAGGGCTTTTTATTAAATAAATATGGTGTAATTGCTGACATCTTAGACAACAAAGACACTTCTTTGTTGTCTAAGATGTTAGCAATAAAGCGTAAACACACACTTGTGTTTACGCTTTATTATAATAGTATAGAAGTATTGATTTAGAATTCAATGCTTTTTATGAAATGGAAAATAAGTACAATTTCGAAAAATTTAGGTAAATCTTGTGGTCCATATCAAAGTATTTTCATCACCACAATCTTACGATCTTCTCTGCTAACAATCTGAGTAAAATTTGTACTTAAATTACTTAAGATATAATAAAAAAAAATCAACATTCGCGATACGTAGAGAAACAACATTTAATGACGCGCTTGGAATTCAGGTGGGAGATCGCTCTGATACGAAACTTCGCTATAAATACACGCAGAGTGTGAATATACAACGTCCCACTATATTCTGTGCTTAAGGTTGCCACAATGTACATGAAACCGAATTTCGTCGGGAAAAAAAGACGACCAATCCTTGTAACTGTCAGCCCTAGATCCTGTAACAATAACCGTTTTTGTACAATTTAATCCAGATGAAAAAGATAGCAGTCATAAATCTGAAACGAAGATATCAAATCAATATAAAATGCAAATTTCGGGTCATTCTAAGTGGCAACCCTATTTTTGCCTCAATATTTTCAGTACATTCATCATTTGTTTACATACTTGAAGTTATAAATCAAATCTAATTTTATCCATTACTAGCTATCGCCCGCGACTCCTCGCGGAGTTAGAAAAAACAATAGCATGTAGTCGATGTGTTCTTCCAGACTATCCTCTACATCTATGCCAAATTTCATCGAGATCCGTTCAGCCGTTTAGGATTCAAACTCTAAACATCCATCCATCTATCTAAACTTTCGCATTTATAATATTATTATGATTATTTTGATGGCTCTAGATCAGGGAATTCGGAATAATTACTATTTATAAAAACATTAACGTTTGGTTTCCGACCATATCAACCATTCCTTAACATTTAGGTGGCATATGTTTACTTAGATAAGTGCCTTAAATGATGAAAGCAGGCATCAGACCTATTTCAAGTTCCTCCCAGTATACTATAACTAGTAAATAAATGTTATGTATACGATTTGATGAAATAATTTATGTCAAATGTTCCATGATCTCTGCCTACCTCTATTGGGTACAGGTATCAGCAATGCAATATACAATGTGCGAGCAATTCTTGTACAATTTTATGTAAGAATGGTGTCGAGTTGCAGTTAGTTAATTGGGCCACGGATATATTTAGAGGATTGACTTTTCGGAGTCGACTAGCGCGGTGCCCACTGTCTATGTATATCCCAGCTAGGGACACCATGAATTCTATTATGTTGGGAATTTCCTGTAATGGAATAAAAATAATTAGTTTGGTGTGTTCTATATTCAGCCAAAAGTTTGACTCTGGTTTAAAAATAAAATGTCTTTACAATAAATAACACAAATACTTCAAAACTTTCTTAGAAACTTACGTATTTGTCATTGGTTATTTCATTAAATAAACTTGTTTATTTTCTATTCATAAGTATAAAACACACACATTTACAAAAACACATGTAAAACAATGTTTTGTAATACATTTATAGGCTACATTTTTACAGTGAGCTATTTGTAGTAAGTCTACCCGGTACATGTTCATTGTCTAATTAACTAATTATGGTTTAACAAGACATTGTACTAATAGCTTTTATAGAACAATGAATAGAATGTCGTTAATCAAAATTAACTAACACAGTGTAGTATGTAGTGTAGTAATGTTTTTAATTTTAATACTCTGTCCTGATGTTTGCATGTCATTGCCACCCTAGTTACTAGATAATACGGTCGGTATTTGTTTAATCGCGACTCTCGTTAAACTTGTATTCGTAAATGTATACCTTATATTACCTTATTTCTTTCCTTTTACATCTCACTAGCTGTTGCTCGCGACTTCGTCTGCATGAAATTAAAAAAAAAATAATTAAAACGTAACCTATGTTACTCGCAGATAAATTACCTTTTTAATAGTGAAAGAATTGTTAAAATTGGCCCAGTAGTTTGCTGAATAGAATACATACAAAAATACAAATATATCCTCTTTATATTAGTATGGACAACGTGAATGTCGTTTCAATATTTGGCCGTACATACAAGTGTCTTGACAATGTAAATCCACAGTTTGGAATTAAAGTGCATGTAATCAGCAATTTGGCAGTGCAAACAGCGATGCAAATAGTTTAGAGTTGTCATTAGTGACGGTGATGAGGTTGAGTGTATTTGTGGTCCGAGATCACAGCGTTATAAGCATCTAGAAAATTACTTACTAGTTTGTGCCGTGCGGCTTCATCCGCATGAATTTATGAAAATTATATTTTATTGTTTACATTTGTCAAATTATCAATAGCAAGTGTCAAAATGACATGACATGGCAACCTTGGTAATCTTACTTTCTTGATGTTGGCAGCAACTTACGGTCTCTTTACCACATTAGGGTTTTTATCCAAAATATTTACCGCCTAAATTTAATGGCGTGAGAATATATAGTCTAAAACGTGACGTAAGTTTAGGGCTTTTTATTAAAAAAAGAATTATTCAAAAATATGCTGTAATTGCTGACATATTAGGCAACAAAGAAGTGTGTTTTTACGCTTTATTATAATAGTATAGATAGATTCGTTCTTTGGCCTCAGAAAAGCTTCTAAACTTAAAACTTAGACAGACTGTATGCGTAATCTTATAATCTATACTAAGATTATAAAGAGGAAAGATTTTTATTTAAAATAAATTATTTTTGTATGTATTGAAATAACTTAAAACTACTAAGCCAATTTCAAAAATTCTTTCACCATTAAAAAGCTACATTAGCACTGAATAATATTGGCTACTTTTAGTTATTTTTAAACTGCACGTGAACGAAACCGCAAGCATCTACTTGTTGATATGTTCGTAAATTCATTGTTCAGTTTCCATTGTTACAGTGAGTTACCATGGCGACAGTAACTGCCAGCATGGAGACGCAGAGCCTGGTCCAGGAGTCACGACACACCTACCAGGAGATGCACGTAGAGACCAGACAGGTGAAGAAGAAGACCAAATCCAAACGGCATAAGGATGAGGGGTCTATTTCAGTGGTGAGTGGATTTTAATAGTATTCTACAAGATTATATGAGTTTGGAGACTGAATTATAGTCTTCTTCAAGGTCTCAATCACGTTATAAAAGACTAGCTGTTGGCCGCGACTTAGTTCGCGTGAAATTAAAAAAATTGACCTGAAAACGTAGCTTTCTAATGGTGGAAGAAGGTGGAAATGGTGAAGAATTTTTGAAATCGGCCCATTAGTTTTTGAATTATAGCAACACATACTATCTTATACTAGCTTTCGCTAGCGTCTCCATCCGAGTGGAACAAAAAGGGAGTAGCTTATGTCTTTCAGACTATCCTCTACATCTATACCAAATTTTATCAAAATCCGTTAAGCCGTTTAGGCTACAAACTACAACAAACGTCCATCTAAACTTTCGCATTTATAATATTAGTGTTTTACTTGCAGTCTAAAAGCTCAGAGAAGCTGCACAGAAAGCTAAAGGCAACAAACGGGGAATCGAACCCACAGTGTGAGAAATGTGCACGACCCGTGTACGCTATGGAGCGAGTGAAGGCGGAGAAACGCGCCTGGCATAAAGAATGCTTCAGATGTGTGCAGTGCAACAAGCAGCTCACGTGAGTAGTGGAAACGGGTACTAACACGAAGGACTAGAGTTACAACACAGAAGCAGACGTGTTAATGAAAGTTTATTATGAAAATATTGGACGTTCATGATTGGAATTATATTTATTACTGTCTTTCCCATAGCTTATAATTGTATGAATTCATAACAAATGTACAATCGGGGAATCTGGCGATGTTGTATTTATAAAAACTGTCGTTTAAACGTTCACGCATTGTAGCTATGCAGTACAATATCATCTCCCTTACCTTATCCTACTCCTGTAGGGGCATCGGGTTTTCGTCCTCCAAATAACTCTATCATCCGTCATCTCAGTCACTCCCTTCTTCATCATGTCACCTTTCACGGAATCCATCTCTTTCTATGTCTACCTCTACCGGTGTATCACACTCATAACTAACGCCATTCTTGCTTGTTACATGCGATTCATCCCTCTTCATTACATGCCCATACCACGCGGTACAATAACCAATAGAAATGTGTCTATAAAAAATGATCGGTCAGTACACGATTTCTTTTTTATTGCGTATGCGCAATTGGTTATTGATAGTGGAGTTAGTACTTGTAACGAACAAGGAATTCTGGAACACCGCAGATTTCCGTGATTGTACATATCTTACCGTGAAATTCCAATGATATTGCTGTCTATATTCAAAGAAAACCAACTAAATACACAAAACAATATATTCTCGAAAAAGTAATCGATATATTTGTTTGTATTAAACCTTCCTTATTGTAGCTTTTATGTCTATACTAGCTTTCGCCCGCGACTACCTCCGCGTGGAAATAAAAAAATCAAAAGTGAGTAGCCTATGTGTTCTTCCAGACTATCCTCTAAATCTATAGCAAATTTCATCGAAATTCGTTTAGCAGTTTAGGCTACAAACTCTAGCAAACATCCATCCATCTAAGCATTCGCATTTATAATATTAGTATGATTGTACAATTATAATTGCTTTGATCTAAAAAAAAAAAAGGAGAGGGAAGGTAATATAGCCAAGATTCTATCGTAAACTGGTATGTTACCGTAAATATTGCAGAGTGGAGACATACCAGAGTGACCACACAACTTTGTACTGCAAGCCTCATTTCAAGCAACTATTTGAGCCGAAACCAGTCGATGATGAAGATGAAGTTGACGGTAGATAGATATTTTCAATTTTTAAACTACCCACACAAAAAAATACAATTTTATTATTAAATTGGCCTTATTTGTAGATTTTTAAGTCTATTTTACATGATTAAAGTCTAAGGGGTAGCTACCCCTTTTGCCTACGATAGACATCCGCAATTGCAAATGCGTTGCCTACCCTTAATTAACGGTGGAGGAGACGCACATGAAGAGGATATTTCCCCTTTCTATGCGTTTCCTCCACCGTCAAATCCGAATTTCCTTCCCATCCTCACCTTTTAAGAAAAGGGTGGAAAAGGATTCAATTTAGGCCTCCGGCACCACACTTATCAGACGAAACGCGGAATTACTCCCACTTCACGCCTGTCTTCTATGTGGTCGTTGTATTACTGGAGGCGAGCCGACCTATTTACGAAGATGATAAATACGGGCTCTACCACTGTTGAAATAAACGTTTCCTTATTGACGCGTTTCAATATTCGGCCATAAGGCCGATAATATTTTAAATAAATTGTTAAATGTTTATACATTTAACAATTTATTTAAAATATTAATTGTATTTTGTTTCAGCCGCACCTAAGAAACATCAAATGATAATTTGCGAGAGTAGCCCTGTGGAATTACCGCCAGATGTTGTTAGAGGTAAGAATATATTAAACTAGCTATTGCTCGCGATTTCGCCCGCGTGAAATTAAAAAATATAGCCTATGTTACTCACAGATAAATTACCTTTCTAACGGTGAATGAATTTTTGAAATCGGCCCAGTAGTTTTTGAGTCCAATACATACAAAAATACAAATCTTTCCTCTTTATAATATTAGTATAGATATAGATTACATCTATGAGTTATTCGACAATTTCATCATCATCATCATCACCAGCTTCACTATACGTCCCCACCGAGGGGCTCGGAGCCTACCCTAAGTAAGGGTGACTAGGCCAAAGTCTACCACGCTGGCCCACTGCGGGTTGACTTCACACATATCTTTGAATTTCTTCACCAATATGTGCATCACGATGTTTTCCTTCACCGTAAGAACGTCGTGTAAATTATGTACATATGAAAATTCGAAAATTCGAAAATCACATTACAGCGGGATTCGAACCCAAGACCTGTAGATTACAAGTCAAGTGTTCACCACTGAGCCACTAAAAGTAAGATAAAACTATGATGGGCCTGTCCAACCAAATTGTAAATTGTCTGATAACAATCCAAGAAGTAAAATTTGTGACGTCATTAAGCTATCTGAGCCAGTGGTGGGACAGGCCCTAAGAAATTTTATTTCGAAACTAGTATCGTACTAATATTATTACAAGGAAAGTATGGATGGATGTTGGTTACTACGTATTTCATTTGAGATGTTTATAATTGTTCCTTCAGAACAAAGTTATCTAAGTCGCGGGAATCAACTACAACAGTGGTAGTGCCCGCTTTAACATCTTAGCACTGCAGGGCTCGCCCCCAGTAATACCACGACCACACAGAAGACTCCAGAAGATTCCGTGTTTCGTCTGATGAGTGTGGTGCCGGAGGCCTTATTTAAGTCCCTTTCTCTTTACCACCCTTTTCTTATAAGGAGAGGATGGGAAGGGGAAGTGGATATGACGGTGGAGATGCATAGGAAGGGGAAATATCCTCTTTATGTGCGTCTCCTCCTCTGTCGGATAAGGGTAGGCAACGCATCTGCAATTGCGGATGTCTATGGGCAGCGGTCGCTTCGCCATTTTGGCGGATTCAGGTGGCCGCTTGCTCGTTTGCCACCTTATGTTATAAAAAAAAAACTTAAAAAAACTTAAAAAAACTTCATTCTAGCTTCAGATAAACCAGACCTAGGTCTAGAGGAGCTAGCTCAGTTAGACGTGAAGTCTAGATTCGAAGTGTTTGAACGAGCGAATCAGAAATCCCCAGAACCGGCGCTGGAGCCCCGCGCACCCAGAGAGAAGTCATCCGCACTGCTCTCTAAGATAGCCAAGTAAGTTGCACTCAGAGACACACACTAGCTATACTGAAGCAGTTTGAACTAGGTTCGTTACGGAGGCCATTTTAACGGAAGCGGAAGTCAATATTAATCATTGCGTTTTGTTAAAGAAATAAAAACTAAAACTACCTTAAACCAAAATACAGATTGGTACATAGTTACAAGATACATTATAGTTAGTTGACATATTACGCGTAATCGCCCCACTTGTGTTAAGATACAACGTAATCAGAAACAACAAAAAAAACAAACATGACATAAGTAATTATATAGAAAAAAATATAATAAAAAAAAATAGAAGTTTAGTTCAAAAGACAGTATTTTAAAATCTCCACTTATCTTAAAATAGCCGATTAATTTTTATTAAAAATGTTTTTGTTAAATGGACGTCACTCAAAGAAAGTAAAAATATTTTGACTTACTTCCTCTTTCTTTTTAAGGACATTCATTTTATTTGTACAATAGAATAATATGATTTTAAACTCAAAATAAAGTGAGTTACGGTTTAAATTTCACTGCACTCTCACTTAACATTCTTCCAGGATGTAGTCGAAGCTAACAATCTTGATCATTGATAGTATTTTATTAAATTTATTTTTTATTAATATTTTCCTTATGATAAATGTATTGATAAATGGCACAGATTAACAAATAACTTTTAAGAATACAGAACACATCAAAAATAGTTAATAAGCTAACACTATAATTACCTCGTGTTGTGGTATTTTGTTCGACACTATTAAATAGTTTAAAAAAAATAATAAATTAATATTAACCACATGTGTAATATTATGAAGGAGGAAAACAATAAGGTAAACAGTTAAATAAAGTACCATTTTACGTCTACACGAAACTTCTTAGACTTGACGTGTTTTTAATATGTACTGGAATTTATATTTATTTAGATAACTCTCACTATTAAGATAAAATAATATGAAATGATAAATTATAAAACCTGTCTAATCTTCTTAAGTCTATAATCACATACTTAATAAACACAGACATTTTAACAATTAATTCACTCAAACTTTTCTAAAATAAATCCACAGATAATAAATTAATTGCTTAATAAATTTCAATTGAATTCTACCATAGTTTCCTTATTAATAAAAACATCGTGTTATCTATACAAAAAAACTTTGAAAGTAGATACACCAATATTATTTTCTTAAGTAATCTAAGACTTCTAAAAATAATACCTAGACAGTAAATAACATTTCTACTGAATTTCAATTATAATTTCTTTAACATTATTCAAAAACAATATTTTATCTATAAAAAAAAAAATTGAAACTATATATTTAAATCATAAAAAACCCCAATAAATTTCAAGTATCAAAACATACAAATCGCGTTACATGTGGATACTTTGCGTCATAGCGTTGCATTGGATTCTATTTTAGTACCAATAACATCTGTATCACAAACCACATTACAAAAAAATCATTCAATACACAAGCTTGGTACTGAACACTACTGTTAAAAATTAACTCATTTATGTTTTAAATTCAAATAAGACTGTACCGTGTGGTTTATCACAATAAATAAAATTTTCGATATAAAAATAGCATCCGTAATTGTGTTACGTATAAAAGTTTAAAATTGTGTTAAAAAGTGATTCAAATATTCCTTTGGACATTATTAACCTAATAAACAGGTTAGTGTTAAAAAATCTAAAATTAAATCGATCCCAGTTTAAAAACTAAACGTCTGTTCCTTGTAAATTGTCTGATAACAATCCAGTAAAATATGTGATGGTAATATCGGATTTTGTTCTCATCTAACAGTGACGTCATTAAGCTATCTGTGCGTCTATCAGCCAGTGGTGGGACACCCTAAAACTTACACATTTACAAATAAATGCGGTACAAAGTTAAACTTAGGAATAAGCTGAGTATACGCGTATTAGTACTAATTTTGTGTATACTCAGTTCATTCCTAAGTTCATTTATAAGTCTTATAGTTAATAACTAAAGTATTCATTGGATGTTTTAATTGCAATTTAATCGACAAACACGTTAGCGTCTTACGTCTTAAGTCATTAAGTTAAGGCCGTAACAAAAACACTCGAAACTAAACGTCTTAGCGTATGTATAAGCCGAGGTCTCTGTCTACCCCTCTAGGTTACAGTTATTTGTTTCAGATTCAAAGCAAAGGGAATGGATATCGGCGTATCTGATGAATATTTGAATGGAGTAGAAGTAGAACACAGCGCTAGTGAACAAGAAGATGACGATGGTGAGTTTCTTAATATCAAATTATTCCCCTTGTAGTTTCATCCACGTAATAATAAAACTTTATTTTAGTTGTAGCTCGGAACTCCGTCCGCGTGTTAAAAAAATATAGCCTATGTTACTCACTAATGTAGCTTTTTAATGGTGTAAGAATTTTTGAAATCGACCCAGTAGTTTTTGAGTTTTCTATACATACAAAGATACAAATCTGTCTTTATAATATTAGTAAAAATTTACACATGTAATTTCTTTAATTTAAAAAACACAAACGACAACGATGGTAAATACTAATAATTACCATGGTAATCTTATGTTACTGCTGTATTAAATTTTCTCCATTTCATTCACACCCTAACCTAAATAGTGTTAAAATATCCTGTAGCAAGTCATGAGTGTAGACATTTATTAAAAAAATAAATTTAAACAACAAGGCAAACTCCTCCTTTTCGTACAAATAATTACATAGTTATGAGCAGTACTAAAAGATAATAATAAAGAAACTCGCCGTGTTTCACTAACCGAATATTTTTCACGTCTCGTTTTAAAAAATCCAAACGATTGTATTTCAAGTGGACCACCGTCAGTTTCCCCGACTGTACAGTATTACACCAGCTGTTCCATTCCAGACGACGCCGTACTGCAGCAGTCGTACCAGCAGACGCGGGCCCGCGAGCAGCCGGTGTCGTTGTGCAACATGAGCGAGATAGTGGGCAGGTTCGAGGCGGGCCCGCTCGCCGCCGCAGACAGGCACCGCGAGCGCAAGCAGGAGATACAGAACATACGCAGCAGGCTCTTCATGGTCAGTAGAGGGAGAGAAAGAGAGAGAGAGACACGGGTGGAGAGAGTGAGAAACAAGTAAAGAAAGGGAGAAACGGGTGGATAGATTAAGAAACGCGTGGAGAGAGTGAGAGACGAGTAGAGAGAGTGAGAAACGAGTGGACAGAGTGAGAAACGGGTGGAGAGAGTGAGAAACGAGTGGAGAGAGTGAGAGAGACGGATGGAGAGAGTGAGAGACGGATGGAGAGAGTGAGAAACGAGTGGAGAGAGTGAGAAACGAATGGTGAGAGTGAGAGAGACTGGTGGAGAGGCAGAGAGACGGTGGAGGCAGTGAGATATTGACTTCTCAAACCGACAACGAAACTGCAGTTCCTCTACTATTGGGGATGTCTGAGCGTTGATGAACATCATCGTTAACGCTGCTCGTTTGCTCCCTACTTTATAAAAAAAAGGGATAGGTAGAGATAGTGAGAAACTAGTGTAGAGTGAGAGAAATAAGTAGAAAGCATGAAAAATAGGAAGTGAGTAAGAAATAGGTGGAGAGAGAGAGAGAAATACAAGGATCGTTTGTGATGGAAGGACAAAAGAAATATAAAAATTATATATGCAGTGAATATAAGAAAAAATCCCAATAAAAACAATGAAAATAATTGTAATCTTCTTGTCAGAAATATTACACTATTCTTATTTAAAAAAGAAAATATTGACGGATATATGTCAAAATTGACAATATCTAAAATTTCAATACATTGATTGACGTCAAAATATTTATTATTGCATAATAATCCTGTAAAAAAATCATAAAATTATATTTTCTTTGTGTTTATTTATTTTAATTTGAATTTCAGGGTAAACAGGCTAAGATTAAGGAGATGTACGAACAGTCCGTAATGCAGAGCGAACAGAGTAAGTATTATAACTAGCTAGCAACAAATAACGCATTTGCGGATGTAATATTTCGCTATTTTAGCGAATTGTGAAAGGTTGTTTACACAAAAATGTGTTTAATGCATTACTAAGAAGCCTATGTGTTCTACCAGATTCTTCTCCTCCCAAAAATTACATCGATTTCCATTTGGTAGTTTAGGCTACAAATTCTAACAATCATTACTAACTAGCAATTATTTTATTAAGGTTTAAACTGCCTTCAAACATAAGGAAGTTCTCAATTCGATCAATTTTTATGTATTAAAATTAATTACTCTTACATTTATAGTCCTATTTGCATATTTCCTGTTATATCTTGAATTTTTCTTTTAAAATAATGAAAAACTACCCGGTAGTTTTTAAGTTTTTTTTAAAATTCACAAACTACCCGGTAGTTTTTGAGTTTTTCTTAACGAAATGTACTAAAATATGTATTTTATCCTTAAATCAGGTCAAACATCATCAGAGAAGATCTGCCGGGAGCTGGAGCTGGACGCGGAGAGAGCTCGCCAGATCAAACAGCGCTTCGAGAACGGAGCCTTCAATGATGAGAACCAACCTCCTAGGAATAGGGATATTGATGATAAATCATTATTTAATGAAGGTCAGTACTAAATATAACGGAGCGTCAGTGGCTCAGTGGTTTAAGCACTTGACTTGTAATCTACAGGTCTTGGGTTCGAATCCCGCTCTACCAATTTTCGATTTTTCAAATTTTCATATGTACATAATTTACCCGACGTTCTTACGGTGAAGGAAAACATCGTGATGCTGCTATCGGTGAAGAAATTCAAAGATATGTGTGAAGTAAACCAGCAGTGCAGGTTGACTATGGCCTAGTCACTAACTTAGGGTAGGCTCCGAGCTCCTCGATAGGGACATATAGTGAGCTGGTGATGACTAAATATGTGGATTTGGCAGGGGACGGGACTAATAGGAAAAAATCTACTTTCTGGTACCCTCTCTCTATTCATCAAATAACTGAAAACGCTATATCTTTAAGTTATGGCCATTTTTTACAAACCCCTGTCACTGTTATTTAAGAAAAAAATAACAATTAAATACATGAAACTTCTATGAATGTAATAAACTAGCGGTCGCCTGCAATTCCGTATGCATAGCATTATAGAGTATCTCGTTTTTTTATTTTCTACTTCTGTGACAAACTTCATGTACTTATCCGTTTTGGATATACATTCTAATAATTTCAACGCATTACTAATAATAAGATAATAAAGAACATGAGTAATGAAATTTAATAAATATTAATTAATTTTTTTTTGGTAGTCGCCATTTCTCTTATTCATTTAATATTCTTGATAATTGTCTTAAAAAGATTCTAAAATCGACCAGAAAAGAAAATTACAAGCAATTTTTATATTTAAAGGTATTAAACTTAAATCTATACTATTATAATAAAGCGTAAACACACACTTCTTTGTTGCCTAAGATGTCAGCAATTACACCATATTTTCAAATAACTCTTTTTTAAATAAAAAACCCTACACTTACGTCACGCTTTAGGCTATATATTTTCACGCCGTTAAACTTAGGGGTAAATATTTTGGATAAAAACCCTAATGTGGGAAAGAGACCATAAGTTGTTGCCAACATCAAGGAAGCAAGGTTGCCATGGTTTGACATTTGCAATTGATAACTTGACAAACGTGAACAATACAATTATTTTTTTATAATTTCATGCGAATGAAGTCGCATGGGAACAGCTAGTAATGGTATATTTCATTTACAGGTATAGCAAAGAAATCTCGTTCCATTTTCCTGGAACTGGACGCAAACGCCAAGACTCTGCCTGTCTCTCCCCCGGCACAGGACGCACCCAAGAGGAAGGAAATTGTAAGTTATACATTAACATCCACATATATTTGATTTTGGGTTAAATTTCACTAATTCGTATCCGACTCGAAGGACCATAACACATAATTGAAAGTTTTATACATATAAACAATAAAATACAGAGATCATGTCACAAATTACCAAATAATTTGGTCTATATTAGTTATATAAAGAAAAATAAAATAAAGCGAAATAAAATAAAATAAAATAAAACAACATTTAATCTTATCACCACTACAACACAATTAGGAATAAGAGAAAAAAACACAACAAAGTAATTAAAAATAAAAATAAACTACTGAGACGATTTCAAAAAACTACATTATTAGTAACATAGAGTGTTTTGTACTTTCTTATTTACAAGGACAAAGTCGCGTGCAACAGCTAGTACACAATATGTAACTATATTTTTCACCTAACGTATAAATGTTCCAGCCTTTCGTACCAAAAGACGTGGTCCGCGCCGCAGACCGCGTGGAGGAGGTGAAGATCGAGACCGCGGACATCTCGGACAGGTTCCGCTTCTTCGAGACCTACAGACCGGAGACCGAGCGCAAGGAGTTCCGCATGACGCCGCCCAGGCATGCGCAGGTAACTTACACTTGGTACTTACTGAATACAGTCTCTTGTATAGATTTATAACATAAATCTAGGTAATATTAATCTAATTTTTTCATTTAAAAAAATATTCGCACTTAAATTACTATAAATTTTCTTGTCGCATGTTTTAAACAATAGTTCATTTAAAAAGTAGAGTACGAGTAGTTTCGAAAGTTCATAACTTGGTAATATTAAGGTCGTTTAGTGATATCTAGACCATATAATAATATTAAGACCGTTTGGTAATATCTACCTTTTGGTAATACTGAAATCGTTTGGTAATATATTCGATTGTTTGGTAATATTTGGATTGTTTAGTAATATTTGTACCGTTTGTGTCCAGCGAAAGTCCCCCTCCCCCGAGGTGTACCAGGAGCCAAGCGTGGTGCGCGGGGGCGGGGGTGGAGACGCAGCGCTGGCCGCAGACCGCCACACTGCCTCCAGGATGATCTCCGTCTTCAGGCAGATGGAGGAGCAGCAGCACAGGCATGGAGACCAGCAAGGTACCACTTCTAGAACCTTCTTTAATGGAGGAAATAAGGCTTAAAGAAATAATATAAGTGTGAATAAGCTTCTTTGTGACGTAGAGCGAAAAAGTCGGCATATTTTTTAGAAATCGTCTTTAACAAAAACTGTATTTTGTGTTTGAAGGGTTTTTTTATAACATAAGGTGGCAAACAAGCAAGCGGCTACCTAAATCCGCCAAAATGGCGAAGCGACCGCTGCCCATAGACATCCACATTTGCAGATGCGTTGCCTACCCTTATCCGACTGAGGAGAAGACGCACATAAAGAGGATATTTCCCCTTCCTATGCATCTCCTTTACCGTCAAATCCACTTACCCTTCCCATCCTCTTCTTATAAGAAAAGGGTGGTAAAGATAAAGGGACTTAAATTAGGTAAATAAATTGGAAAAAAAATTCTCGATAAAGAGACAAACTACAATCTAAAAGCAGTAAAAAAGCAAGATTGTCATGTTTCTAATATACGGTTAAAACCGTACCAGAAATTATTAAAAACATAAAGATAATTAATGTGTAGCTTTCTTAATATATTTTGATCCTTTGAGTCGGATAAATCTCTCCCCCAAATAACCTAGTTAAAAATACAAAGAACAATTAAAGTCTACATTTTAACGCATTTGTAGATTTTGGTCCTTGAAGTCGGATAAATTCCTCTCCAGGTCCGAAGCCGCTGAAGCGGTTCACTCCCCCTCCCCCCGGGGAGGAGGCGCACCAGGGGGAATCCTCGGAGAGCAGCAGCGAGGAAGAGGACAGCGAGGAGGAGCGAGCCAGGGAATACCTGCTCGCCAGGGATAGGGACGACGCCTTGAAACAGGTAAATTACATTGGGAGGGTAAATCAATATTTAGTTTTGTTCTATACTACTGTGTAATCTTTGTTATTAATAATTATTAGTAATTTAACTAGAATTAAAAAATAAATAAAAAAAGCTACTTTGTCAGTAACATAGGCTTTATTCATACTATCATACTAATGTTATAAATGCGAAAGTTTGGATGGATGGATGTTTGTTAGAGTTTGTAGCCTAAACGTTGAATAGATTTCGATAAAATTTGGTATAGATGTAGAGGATAGCCTGGAAGAACACATAAGCTACTCGCATTTTTTTAAATTCCATGCGGACGGAGTCACGCGCAAAAGCTAGTTTGTACTATTTTTAATTACACGTTGACGAAGTATCGAGCAACTGTAGTTAAATATATAGCCTTTTTTCTAAATTCTCAACTTTGTAATTCTCAATTTCATAATAAAACGGACTATATTAATAATTATTTTAAGGTTTTTTAGTATTTCTTCATGTAAATTAAATAAAATAAGAACCTAAAATTAACATAAAACATATTTTTTCTTTAGGCTCAACAATTAGCTCGTACAAAGAGTTTCCGCGAACGCTTCGAGAACTGGTCGGAGTCTGAACCTGCGCGTGCGCCCTGCACCCTCCTCGTACGGGAACATGATGACGACGACTCCCAGCTGGAGACCGCCAGGAGGTCAGTATACACCACAAAAAACACTCACATGAACCTAAACAACAAACCCTAAAACTCATAGAAACCTTCAAAACACAACATTTATTAAAACCCTTAACACAAATCATTTTATATAATAAGATGGCAAACGGGGTAAATCCACCGAAATGGAAAGCGACCGCTGTCCATAAACATCCGCAATTGTAGATGCATTGCCTACCTTTTATTGACGGAGGAGGAGACGCACATAAAAAGGACATTTCCCCTTATGCGTCTCCTCCACCGTCAAATCCACTTTACCTTCCCATCCATTCCTCTTAAGAAAAAGGGTGGAAAGGGAAAGAGACTAAAATTAGGCCTCCGGCACCACACTCATCAGACTGTACGCGGAATTGCTTCCACTTCACACCTGTCTTGTGTGGTCGTATTGCTAGAGGCGAGACCTGCAGTGCGAAGATGTTAAAGCGGGCATTACCTTTTACATGGACCCCACTAAACTCTTATAAGGACCTTCAACACAACATTCAAATATATAACTAGACCTTCACAGGGACCCCCAATACATACTACATTTAAAGAAACTCCGTAAAATTATCACATAGACTCCCAATCCAACATTCACAGGGACCCCCTAACATTTACATGAACCCCCAACACACATAAAACCCACTAAAGCAAGGACCCCCAATAGTATAATTATTAAATTAATCTCCAAAATACACAACTTACATAGACCCCCAATATATAAAACTGATATGAACCCCCAAATAATAGGGGGTCCATTAAGGTATACACGCAATTACATATTCTATAAATATAAAAATTAAAATCTATAATACAGCTTGTTTCAAAAGTATTTTTTATATATTTGTTTATTGTTTATATTTCAGTTTGCGTGAGAAGTTTGAGAAGATGAAAGTGCAGCAAAACGTCGTCACCAAAACAACCACCCCCAAAGTGAACCGCTTTGTGGTGAGATTTACTTAGTTTTATTAAAACTAGATATTTTCTCTTTTTCTATTTATCTTGCTTATTACCATCATTTGATGCCGATGTTGAGGTCAGAAATGTCATTCCGCCATTTTGTGGTCGCGGCCATTTTGGAATTTTTACTGTAAAATCTTTTATATATCCCATGTTTGGTAGAAATTTAGTTATTTTATTATTTGTTTTGTCTATGACATTGAAAGAATAACTATATGTTCAAGGGTTTTGGAATTTAATGGAAATTAGGTCTGTTGTGTTCTTTTTTTCATATAAATGTTATATTTCAGTGAGGAGTGTTCGCTGCCAACTGCCTTCGATTACCAAAGTGTTTTATAATCTTGTCAAGTCGATGCTTGCCTCAATATGCGGGTAGTCGCAAAATTCACAACAAAATAATCGTTTTAACTGATTTATCGACAATAATAATATACATTTTGAGAGTGCTATAGTAAGCTAATTAGAAAAAACTGTTTAATTTTTTTTTTGTGACTACCCGCAATATTTTTAAGTTACATTTTTTTAAATATTTATTGTAATCGAAATAGGACTGATGCTGTTTGCATTTTGTAACAAGTGCCTTAAAAATGTGCAATTATTACTCAAATTTTCTAAATATATAAAATGGCGGACAGGATTTTTCGCGCCAATTTAACCTAAAACTAGTTTATAGGTTTTTAACTAAAAATAAGTTTTTTTATTAAAAGATTTTGTACTAAAGTGAAGTCTTCTATCGAATCTCTGACAATCTCAATCTTAGTTATACATTTTGAGTATAATTTCTGTTTTGATGATTCATATTTTAAACATATAGTTTTAGAAATAATAACATATTTATTTTTCATATAAGTGCCATCGACAAGGCTATTTGCTTATATAAATTTATTTACACATAGATTAATCTTTTCATAGATATTTGGAAGATTTGGCACATTTTATTTTACTCTTTGACAATAAATCTTCATAATTTTACTGATTGACTGAACTCATTTTATTTTATGTTTGTACTTAATTGGAAATTTAGTGTTGTTTTTCATTTTTGTACTGTCATTGTTAAACTATCGCTATATTAATAAATGATTCGAAATTTTTATTTATTTGTTTTATTTCATAACATTTACCAAAGAACCAAAGCCAGACTTTCTTATTTTAAAAGATGAAAGTTGTATTATCTATACTAATATACAGAGGAAAGATTTTATTAATTATTTTATCTGCGTTGCTGAAAACGAAAATCGCGTTTAAAGATTTTTGTCTGTCATTTTTTTATATAAGGAGGTTGCAAACGAGCAAGCTAAATGCGCCAAAATGGTGAAGCGACCGCTGTCTACAGACATCCGCGTTGCCTATCCTAACGAGGAGACGCACACAAAGAGGATATTTCCCCTTCCTATGTGTCATCTCCACCGTCAAATCCACTTATCTAATCTTTCTTTTATAAGAAAAAGATGGTACAGGAAAGGTCCTAAAATTGGGCCTCCAGCACCACATTCATCAGATAAAACGCGGAATTGCGTCCACTTGACGCCTGTTTTCTGTGCGGTCGTGGTATTACTGGGGGCGAGCCCTGCAGTGCGAAGATGTTAAAGCGAGCTCTACCGCAAGCCAAGTAATCAAACGGCTGGACTGATTTCGAGCAGACTTTCACTAAAGCTGACATGGCTATATTATAGGCTGCTTTTTTATGTTAAAATTGCGTGGACGAAGTCGCGGACAACAGCTAGTATAAAATAAAGGTCTGTCGCTGACTAGATCTACAAGGTTATACGGCCACTACCTTTTTTGTTATTTTTAGGTTATAAATAAAACAATGTCTATTTAAAATCTATTTTATTATTTTCAAAAAAAATGTATACGAAACTTGAAACAATAAATTAACCAGGTAAACATAAATGTGACAAATATCACAATTTTCTCTCATTTCTCTAATGAAAGTTCCGAGAACAATCTTACTTATTTGTAAGACTGACAATTTGACAAGGGTTTTTATTTAATACGTAAATGATTTATTTAAATAAATTTTGAATTTGGCTCTCACATATTCTTTGAATTTTGTATAAAACGAGTTGCCCAAATGTTATTTAAAAAAATATATCATTTTATATTGAAAATGATAATCTGATTTATTCCAAGAGTTGTTACTTAAAATAAAAAGCAAAATTCAGATACTAACAACATTTTTACTACAAAAGAACTACAATTTAGTATTGTAGTAAAAAAAATACTATATTGATTCCACTTCACTGTTACCTTAAGGGGACGTAATAAATAAAACAATCACAAAAAAATAACGTCTACTTCAGACTAACCTATCAGAATTAAATTTTTAATAACCTTAGTGCAATTCTTTAGAAATATGCGTGAATTTCAACTTATCGTTTACCCTCTTAAAATTTATTTATTATAATTTCGTGTTCCGTTAACCTCTTTTACAAAATCACATTCACAGCGCAGTTTTAGAAACGTGGCGAGATCAAATATTAAATCACTTGTACAAACATACTTTAGTCAACATTAGGCAAGATTTTGAGGTCTAATATTCATTAATTCCACAAAACTAAATCAATTATATTCCAATTAACATGAGCCAAAAAAAAATCACTGGTATTTTAAGATTAAGGGCCTGTCCCACAACTGGCTGATAGAGGCTCAGATAGCTTAACATTGGATTGTTATCAGATTTTTTACAATTTGGTGGGACAGGGCTTTCAACATTTATTGCCGAAGTATTTTTAGATACATTTAAAAAAGTTTTTGCTGTCTCAATACAATCAAAACATGGTCCTAACAAAAAAACCCTGAGGGTGTTATGTCTTTACAGTTAAGTTTTTTATACTTATTTAATCCCAATATATGTTAAAGAATAAAGAAAACCTAAAAAAAAAAACAACTCAACTGACAATATTATTTCCAGAAATTCTAAAAAAAAACGAAAAAATAACTGTTGACGTAATCTAAAACTGCGCTTACAACCGCGTAGCCTCTACGAGACAAGTAACCCTATCTATTTACAAGGAATTTAATCTATGGTACGAATTTCAAGGGCAATGTACGAATGGTGCGGGAAAAGAATTCTAGACTTTATTACAGACGGCATAAGGTCCAATTTTGCTATCAAATATACAAACAAAACAATTTTTTATATACAGGATGTCCCACATTCATTACATAAAATTATTTTTTAGAGATTTTGTCTTTAAAATTTGATTTTACCCAATATTGATATATATCCGATATATTTGGTGTTAGAACTTTCAGTTGTATATTTAATTTCTGGACACCCTGTACTAGTTGACAATTTTATTTTTATATAAATCGTAAATGAATACTAGAAAATTGATTTCAAGTACATTTTGCATTGTCGTATATTCTAGAAAAATCATCTCGAGTACAGAAAGTACTAATCAGCAAATGTATACATTAACAGAAGTAAAAACTTTTGTATAAATTTGGCTTCAAAAATAAGAACACATGAACACATCTGTATACAGTATTCGACAAGTTAAAGTCCAAGGGAAACAAAATACTTTAAGTTATAGAGTTTTAAGTTATAAAGGGTCTACATTGTAGAGGTTTTGGGCTCTGATGGGAAGGGGACATATTTTTTGACGTTATAGAGGTTTTAAATTATCAAGGGTCTATGTTATAAAGGTTTTGGGCTCTGATGGGAAGGGGACATATTTTTTGACGTTTTAGAGGTTTTAAGTTATCAAGAGTC